ACTTTCCCCAGATTTTCAGCGTCACAGCTAGCTTTCCTCGGGAGTAACAAAAATATTGTTTTGAAAAATAACCAAAACAAACTAATCAAATTCACTCATAATCCCACTGGTTCAAAATTTCATAGAACCTTGGCTGGGTAGCTCAGTTGGGTTGAGTGTTGTCTTGATACACCAGGGCCGCAGGTTCCATCCCCATCAGGGCACACACAAGAATCAACCAATGAAAGCATAAATAAGTGGAACAACACCTCGATGCCTCTCTCTCTCTCTCTCTCTCTCTCTCTCTCTCCCCCCCCCCTTCCTCTCTCTCTCTCAAATCAATAAAAAATTTTTTTCGTAAAGCAAGAGAAAATGTTTCTCCCTCAACTTGATCTCCTTCTTCAAAGTAAACCACTTTTAATGACTTGTTGCCTGTTTCACACAATTTGTTACTGGGTTTATTCAGACATGTTTAAGTACACATACATCCGAAATGCCAGACACACTGACCTGCACCTTGTTTATGTCCTTTCATACTCATGGCTGTTTTCCAGGGCAACACCTGCAGCTTTAACACATTCTTTTTAGTGGCTGCAGAGTCTTCACTGCATGGATATATTGTAATAGATCCAACCATTCCCCTATTGATAGGCATGTAGATTGTTTACAATATTTTTGTTCTTGTGAGCAACCCTGCAACACATACTCCAATATTGTTACGTATTTGTTGTCTTTTGACTGGTAGGATGGATTTGAAAGAGTGCAATTGCTTTTCCTCATGGGCCTAGGACCTCAACAGCGCAGGGAAGGGCCCCCACCCTCTCCCCAGCCTTGCCAACACCAGGTCCAGTCCAATCTGCTAGAACAAAAACTGTTAATCTCCTTGAAGTATCATTTGCATTTCCCCAACTGCTGGTGAAGCTGAGCATCTTCTCATATGTTTAAGAAAATTCGCATTTCCTATTCCATGAATTCTCTACTTTTACTCTGGACTCAATTTCTATCGGGTTCTTTTTCCTATTCAGTGTGTATGTAGGACATTTTTGAGCACTTGGATATACTCTTCACCTCTTATATGAAGTAACTGTTTTTCTAGCATGCTGTTGCCTTTTGATTTCGTTTAGGGTGTGTGCTAACTGTAAATTTTAATTTTAGTTTTTGTTATAGTCCAGTATGTTAAAATTTTCCTTCCTTGTTTCGGTGCTGTCTTAGAAAGAACTCCAGTTTATATATTCTTCTTATACTTTTATAGTCTTACATTTTCCATTTAAATCTTTAATCCAGGCTTTTAAAAAATTAATTTATTAATTAATTTGTAACTGGGTGAGTTAGGGAGATAGCTTTACTTTACTCCCAACAGAGAGTCAAGGATTTAAAAATTATTTAATCAGTAAAAATTTACACTTTTTTTTTTTCTTTTGGCAGAAGGAACCAGTGACATGTCTAAGGGAAACCATGATCTCTGAAGCTGGACCCAGAAGACTTTTAACACAGGACATGAGAAATATAAGGAAACACCTAGAGACTGTTGATCTCCTAGCCAGACCTGGATTGGACCCGTCTGAATGTATCTGTGTGTTGTTTTTCTTTTAATACAGAAGGGATTTACGGAAAAAAAAAAAAACCTTCTCCCTCAAAAAAATCTCCTTATTTATAAACCAAATCTTGTGTTTAACTCTGTCAATGTAAGAAATGTCTAGGCCTGTAGAGAGTTTTTATAAGGGTTTATTTGAGCCACTTATGTCATATGCTGGGGAACAAGACCTCAAATGCTCCCAAGAATAACAGTTCTGCAGCTTCTTTAATGCATTTAAAATTGAGGGGATGCACATAAGGAAGGTTACGTGGAAGCGGGAGAAGAAGGCAGTGATTGGATTAGTACACAATACTGTGCTTTCTCAAGGGTGGTTGCAGCTTATTTCAAAGGTGTGTTAACCTAGAGTCACAGAAACCATGGACAGGGCTTGCTTAAGACAAAGATAAAACTTTTACTAAAAAGTTATGTGCCTGGGACATGACTACCCACCACAACCTGCCCAATTAGGAATTTATGACCAGATCGCCCTGTGGGGTTATTTTCCATTGACCCCCCCTTTTTTGTCCACAACTCTGTCCTCTCTGTTGGTCCACCTTAGGTGTGTCCCCTTCCATGCAGGATAAGCCCCTGGAGGCTGTCTTAACTCATCTTCCTCCTGAACGGGGACAGCACATGTGTGCCGGACCAAACCTTGTCTTTGAAGCCATCTGATCTATTTGGTGTGCATTCACACGGACTAAGGGTGTTTCGACATTTTGAAGAATTGGTGCAGGTTTCTCTACAAGCTGATTAGGAACCAGCAGTAACAAGGTTTCTCCACGGAGTCTTTTATCTTTCCGTTTGCAAATGAAAGCACCAATAAATACTTGTTGAATTTTATCATTCTGTTAACCTTCAAATTCAGACTTGTCAGTAATTACTGGCTTGCGTTAAGAGATGGAAATTAGAGCTTGAGGCCCAGGAAGGATACACTGTTTGCTTGGAGGCATGTGGAGTAACCCAGTCTCTTGTCTTCCTGTCCCTTCTTTTTCTGCTACATTTTGCCCTTTGACAAAGCACAACTGGAGTGGTGAAGGGCAGGTCTGGTGAGAAAGGACAAGGGCAGGACTTTTAAACATCGCAAGGGGGCCATCCTTGACGATTTTGACAGCCCTGCCATTTTGGTTAAAAACAACAACAACAACAAAAACAGTAGGGCAGGTAATTCTGAGCCCGCTTACAGGAAGCCTGCTGAGGGCCCAAAGAAGGCTCTGCCGCGACGGTTACTCCTCCTTTGCTGACGAGCAGAAACTATCTTGGAAGAACGAGCTCGCCGCCTTAGAAAGACTCCTGCGGGGATTTCTGCCTCGAACAATGGAGTTGAGTACTTTCCGTATACAAGGGCCCCGCTTTGTTTCAAGGATGCCACTTGGAGCAAAGCAGGACTTCTCCCGCCGGGGCTCGCAGGCCGAGGAAGGCACACAGAGCCTGTTTCCTCACGGATTCAGGCGGGAAGCCGGCACTGAACAAACACTCCCAGGAATATATCATTACGCATGGAGGTGAAGGATGTTTGGAGAGAATACAGCAGGAAGACTTGGTTTAGATTAGGGGGTTAGGGAAGAGCAGACGTGGGGGGGTTAAGGGCTTTTGCAAAAGTAAAGTGTTTTACATATGAGAGGGAAGTAATAATAATAATAAAGGTGCTCCGAAGGGCAGCGCATCCTCATTCATGGGCCACTTCCTAGAACTTGGGGAGTCGCTTTCTCTTCCCAGAATTATGTAGGCATCCTGGGTAAAGGCTGGAAGAGCCTTCACAAATGCTAATCCGTGAGCATTTTACAGGCTGCCCCCGACCCTCTGCAACCTCATCTGTCGCTAGTTTGAATGTTGAGGTGAATGGCAGGGATGAATGGAATTTCCAACTTGGAATAGGGGCTATAAAGCAGCGTACCCAGCCCTAGGCAGGGGCCAGGTTCCTCTACCCCAGACCATCCGAGAATGGTTTTTCAAAGCAAAACCCCGCCTCTCTGTGTATTTGGTTGTGAGGGATGGCTGTCCAGGGGACCTGGGTTGTTCCTGGGGAGCTTGGGGGTAGGGGAGATAATCTCTGATTCCCCACCCCTTCCCCCAAACACACCTGTGAGAAAGCTGAGCACAGTGAGGTGGGGATGTGAGAATGGCGGGGTGGCGGGGGTGGGGGGGTGGCGGTGAAGGCGAATGCTGCCGGATGGGGGTGTTAATCTCCCCCCGGAAGACTCTATCCTGATCTGATAATAACAATAATAGCTAACATTCACACTTGTGTGCCGGGCACTGTGCTAAGTGCTCTCTTATTTCTCAAAGCAACCTATGGGTGAGCGCCATTTATAATTCCATTTCGCAACTGAGGACACTGAAGCACAGAGGCTCATCGGTGATAGCCGCTGACAATATGGAGTTAAGGTTTCTGAGCGGAGGTTTGGTCTTCAAGAGGTGTGGACCAGAACTCCCGTGTCAACCGGATCCGCCTCCCCGTTAAGTCGGCACAACGCTGGTTTTGAAAGGCGAACTTGAGAGTCCGTGGGGATGACTGGGGTGTGTGTGCGGGGAGGGGGGTGGGGGCGTCTCACGCCAACTCTGTTCGGAGGCCGAGCCCCCACCTCCTGAGCCTCGGGAAGGCGGGTAGGCAGTGTCACGGGGGCGGCGGTAGAGCTGCAGGGTGGCCCCACTTCAATCCGCAAGACGAGGCCCAGCAGATCCGTTTTTCTGCTTGGTCTCCGCGAGGTGTCGCCTTCGGCCGAAGAAACCACCGCAGCGCCACCCTCGTAGCCCGGAGTTATTTATTTATTTTCAAACAAGGGGGGCGCCCCTCTCCTTTCAATTTAAAACTAGAAACATCCAGCGATCTCCTTCCTAAGTGGGCGCGTCCTCTTCCTACCATTTTGCACCCCGGGTGTAGCCTCCCTTCGGAATCTTGCACGGGCAGCCCCTCCGCAGAGCCTTGCAGGACGACGGCCTCGCGTCTGGCCGCGCACAATCCGAGGCAAGGCGGGGGCTGGGTTAGGAGCCTCTGTTTCCACTCCCACTCCCACCCCACATACTCCCCCGGACCCCCTTGGACATTCCTCGTCTTTTAATGCCAAGCAATTGCCAGGCCTGCAGGGTGGGTGCTGCATTGCACCGCTCGGCACGCAGCTGGTTCGCAGAGTGCACCGAGTGCAAGCCCGGGGGTCTGAAAGGGTGGGGGAGCACAGCCTGGGCTTCCCAGCTTTGCAGCCTCCTCTGTGCAAAGAAGAAAAGCAAGTGGCTTTTGGCGCGAAAGCCTTGGCGCCTCCCCTGATTTTTATGGAAATCAAGAGGGCGGGGTAAAGCCCCTTTCCTCTGCCTTTCTCCCTCCCCCTTGTCTGTGCCGCAGCCCCCTTCTCTCCCCGCCCCCCGGGTGTGTCAGATTTTTCAGTTAATAATATCCCCCGAGCTTCAAAGCGCAGCCAGTGACAGTCATCTGTCTGGACGAACTGGGTGGATGCGGGGGACTCCTGGGAACTGGGTTGGAGCCGAGCTACCGCTAGCCAGGCGCAAGCGCGCACAGACTGCAGCCACCCGAGGACCACCCCGCCCCGGGCCACCCGGGGACCCCAGCACAGATTCGCCTCTAGATCCCCAGCAATCTGCGGGAGGTAAGGAGCGAGGCGTGGGGGGCGGGGGGCGAGATAGGGGGTGCAAACCTCCCGGCGCCCGGAGAGCGGCGAGCGCGGCGGGAAGGCAAGCCTGGGACCGGATCGCGGCTCGCGCTCTGGGCGCCCCTACCTACCCCTGGGACTGTTGCTGCTTCCGAAACAAAACCTCAGGCTTTTCCCTGAAAAGCCAGTCGCAGCCCCCCGAGGCACCCCAGCTGGAAGAGACCCGCCCTAATCCTTTTAGTGCCCTTGTCTTAATGGCTTCGTCGGAAATAAATTCGCCCTTCTCTAGAACAGTTGTCTGTTTGAGCTCACGGTGACACTGTGTGTTCCCAGCCCGACCCTGGGGTTCTTCAAAGGGTGTCCCCAGAGGAAGAAGAAGAGGGTTAGGCTGGGCGAGGCAGCCGTGGTGGTAATCTGGGTCACGGCTGCTTCAACTCGGAGGAGACGCTGGTCTCCGGCGACCTTCCCCTCTCCGGCCCCTGCACCATTCCCGGGAACTGGAGTTCAGGTTGTTCCTTCGCCCTGGGAGAGGACGTTGCTGGGGGTTTGGGGAAAAGGGGGGAGGGTTTAGGAAGGCACAAAATAAGACAGTGGTAGGACTCTCCGCTCAGCGGGTGAATGTTGAGGGGCGTCTGCTCAAACTGGGGGTGGGGATAGATTTGGGTGGCTGTTGTTAGCGTGGGTCTAGAGAAAGGATTTTTCCATTTGCAAAGTTTCGTAAAATCCCCCTCTAACGCTCGCACGCCCAAGGTTGCAATTTTACCGCGGGGGTAGGAGAGACTGGGATACTCGCGATCCCTTGCCCGGCAGCTGGGTTGGTGGAGCCCCCGGCTGCCTTTTAGCAGCTGGTCCGACATTGGTGCCACCGGGCTTGCCGGCGAGCTGGTGAGCTAGAATCCTGCAGCCTAGCCTGGAACAGCCCCCTCCCCCAGGCAGTGCCTTGTGTGAATGAAATGGCAGTTTCCAAAGTTGCAGAGCCACTGCCACCACCCCCCGCATCTGCATGCCCCCTCCCACCCCCTGTCGTAGACCGCTTGTACACAAAAGGAGGGAGGGAGAGAGCTGAGGCAGAACTTCCTCCACCTTCGGGAGCGCAGGGCGGAGTGGGGGCTTGGAGGGGAGACGGAGGGACGGGCTCGAGGGGCGCCCACTGCCTGACCCCCGATTCGGCTCCCCTTGCCAACCCTCTCCTGCTGTGTCTGTCGGTTGCAGTGTCGGAGGTTGGCGCGGGTCCCCGCCCTCCGCGCCCCCCACGGGAAGGAAGCACCCCGAACTAAAAAGAGAGGAGCGGAAAGAAGCTTTTATTCGCCGGCCGGGAGGCGAGCCGATGCCGAGCTGCACCGCGTCGAACATGCCGGGGATGATCTGCAAGAACCCAGACCTCGAGTTTGACTCGCTGCAGCCTTGCTTCTACCCGGACGAAGATGACTTCTACTTCGGCGGCCCTGACTCGACCCCCCCAGGGGAGGACATCTGGAAGAAGTTTGAGCTGCTGCCCACGCCCCCACTGTCGCCCAGCCGTGCCTTCCCGGAGCACAGCCCGGAGCCCCCGAACTGGGCCACCGAGATGCTGCTGCCCGAGGCCGACCTGTGGGGCAACCCGGCCGAGGAGGACGCGTTCGGCCTGGGAGGCCTGGGCAGCCTCACCCCCAACCCGGTCATCCTCCAGGACTGCATGTGGAGCGGCTTTTCGGCCCGGGAGAAGCTGGAGCGCGCCGTGAGCGAGAAGCTACAGCACGGCCGGCCGCCGGCCGGGCCCGCCTCCCCGGCCCCGGGAGCGGGCGCCGCCAGCCCTGCTGGCCGCGGGCACACTGCGGGGACCGGCCGCGCAGGGCCCGCCCTGCCCTCCGAGCTCGCCCACCCGGCCGCCGAGTGCGTGGATCCCGCGGTGGTCTTCCCCTTCCCGGTGAACAAGCGCGAGCCCGCGCCCCTGCCAGCTGCCCAGGCTGGTGCTCCGGCGGCGGGCACCGCGGTCGCCTCGGGGGCGAGTGCCGCAGCTCCAGCCGGCGCTCCGGTGGCCTCCCTTTCGCGCACCGGCGGGCGTCCGGCCAGCGGCGGTGACCACAAGGCTCTGAGCACCTCCGGAGAGGACACTCTGAGCGACTCAGGTAAATACCAAGTCAGGGTCCGCCGCCTTCCTGGACCCTGTGAGGGGGCTGCGCTCCCTTTGTTGCTGTTCGTGGATTTAGGCTTTGCGGGGGAGCATTTTGGGGAAGTAGCGCTGGAGGCTTTCTTTCCCAAGCCGATCCGCAGAGGACAGGAAGAGTGGAATCTAAGAGGGTGTTATCCAAAGTGTCACCTTCATTGGAAGTTACTTACACCCGCAGCCGGTCCGACACATAAAATTAGGAAAAGTTTAGGGGCTACAGCCGGGTTGGAGTTTAGGGAGCCGCCGGCTGTATCGCCCGGACAGAAAGAAACCTGTTAGCCTCAGGGTGGAGAGGGACAGTGGCCCAGGGCAGTGGTGAGGAGACACCCGAGAGGACAGAAGCGCGTGCAAAATCTTGCTTAGGGCACCGGAAGTTAGAGGGAGATTGCACAGATGGTTGGTAGCAATTTTTATTTTTCAAACCTGGGTGTTCTCCCCCTTGGGCTCTGTGGGTGGTGGGTTATTTGTTCCTGGTACGTGGCCAGCAGGCGGCGATATTCCAGGCGGGCCACGGATCTAAAGGGCTGGGGGCGGTGGGGCCACCCCTGCCCCCACTCAGCAGCTGGCGGCTAGTACCACGGGAGTTGTGTACATTCTCAAGGGGCCCGCCTCTGTACAGCGCTGCTCAACTGGGTCCAGCTTTGTTTTCTAGCCAGAATTCCAGGACTAATTTCAGATCTGAGCTGTGTTTTGTGACCCAGTGTCCTTCAAGGTGAGGGCAAGCATTTGGCCCGCCCTCTGGGAATGCACACACCCCAGAAGCACTCATTGATAATTTCTATTGTGTGCCTCTGTCTTGAAGGGTAGGGGTTAAGCCGAAGACTCTACCCAAATACTTGTCCTTGGAGCTGGGAGCTTGTGTTCCCTGGAATCTCGAAACCCAGTGTTTTCAGAATGCAGGCGGATTAAAAGCCTAAATTTCCTTCAGGGCTGAGGACAGATTCCTCTGAGGCTCCTGGAAGGAAACTTGGTGATAAGCCTCCAGTTTCAGGCGGGTCTGTCCCTTTAATGTCGGTGCCTTGACAGCTCTTGGTGAGGAAGCACTTCCTTCCAACAGCTGTCTTCTTGGCAGAAAACCAAAACGTTGGCTTAAAGGGACCCACAGGCTGGAACAGCCTCACATTTCGGCTTTAGAACAAATCCTACAATTGTTCAGCTTTCCGGTTTCCTTCAGATCAAGCAGGAGATGTGTTTTGATTTTTCATGCTTGCATTTTAAACAATAATTTTCTATCCCAGCAAGTAGTAAATGAGGAGAGGGGAGAAAGCACACATGATGCTACACGTTTTTGTTGTTGCTGTTATTATTGGCGACCTTGAGAAGGGGGGCTCCCATATTTGGGTTGAGAGCTCCTATGGGTTATGACTTGGTAGTTAAGATTTGATCTTTGCTAGATGAAAAACTGCTTACTTAAATCGTTCTCTTAAGTCTTCTTAGGGAGACCTAAAGTCGAACTCAACCATGTGTAGAATTGCAAAATGAGGAGCCTCAATTCTTAAGTGTAGAGATGGAAATATTTAATAAATAAGTCTGTGGGATGGGCTGGTGATGGTGTTAAACGCTACCATTTCCTGTGTGTGTCTGCTGGGCCCTGCTCTGTACATATTTCCTGTCCAGCTCAAGAACCGTGTGGTATTAGTCCCATTCAAGAGCTGAGGAAACTAAGGCTTAGAAAGGTTTAGGGACTTGCCCAGGGTCACACAACTAGTGTGTGATGCAGCCAGTATTCTGTCTGACCCCAAAGTCCAGGTTCTTTGTATATCTGCCACCTGCTAAATAAAGTCTGGAGGCAGAAAGTGCTAGGGGTATGGGGAAGGAGAAAGGTATTTACAGATAGGTTTAATTTAAAAGAGATCTAAAATGCACTTCTGTTCTCCTGTGTGTGTTGATGGAGCCACAAGAATAGCAAACCATGCCAGGGCCTGTAAGAGGCTATAAATAGAGAGGTGATTTTCATGTGCTTAACTATGAGAATAACCCCCATTTTATCCTTGAAGATGATGAAGATGATGAAGAGGAAGACGAAGAGGAGGAAATTGACGTGGTGACCGTGGAGAAGCGGCGGTCCTCCTCCAACAGCAAGGCCGTCACCACCTTCACCATCACCGTGCGCCCCAAGAGCGCAGCCCTGGGCCCGGGGAGAGTCCAGGCCGGTGACCTGATCCTCAAGCGCTGCGTCCCCATCCACCAGCAGCACAACTATGCCGCCCCATCTCCCTATGTGGAGAGCGAGGATGCGCCGCCCCAGAAGAAGATTAAGAGTGAAGCGTCCCCCCGTCCTCTCAAGAGCGTCATCCCCCCAAAGGCTAAGAGCTTGAGCCCCCGCAACTCTGACTCGGAAGACAGTGAGCGCCGCCGGAACCACAATATCTTGGAGCGCCAGCGCCGCAACGACCTGCGGTCCAGCTTCCTCACGCTCAGGGACCACGTGCCAGAGCTGGTGAAGAACGAGAAGGCCGCCAAAGTGGTCATTTTGAAAAAGGCCACCGAGTACGTCCACTCCCTGCAGGCTGAGGAGCACCAGCTCTTGCTGGAGAAGGAGAAGTTGCAGGCCAGACAGCAGCAGTTGCTAAAGAAAATCGAACACGCTCGGACTTGCTAAACCTTTCTCAAAACTGGACAGTCACTGCCACTTTGCACATTTTGATTTTTTTTTTTTTAAACAAACGTTGTGTTGACATTAAGAATGTTGGTTTACTTTCCAATCGGTCCCCCGTCGAGTCTGGGTCTGGGTGGGGAGCAGGACGCTTGGGGCCCTGCCAGGCCCCCCGGAGAGGGCCTGTGTGCTGGGCTGCTGCGTGGCCCTGAAGTTCCCTCCACGTCACCTCCAAGACAGTGGTCGAAGTTTGTGACAGTCGGGAGCCTTTGGGGCTGTTGGAGTCACCTTGTTTGTTCCAAGTTTCCAAACAACAGAAAGTCATTCCTTTTTAAAATGGTGCTTAAGTTCCAGCAGATGCCACGGAAGGGGTTTGCCATTTAATACCCCTGGGGAACATTTCTGTAAATACCACTGACACACCCGCCTTTTGTACACGTCCTGGGTAATGAGAGGTGGCTTTTGTGGCCAGTATTAGACTGGAAGTTCATGCCTAAGTACTGTAATACCTCAATGTTTGAGGAGCATGTTTTGTATACAAATATATTGTTAATCTCTGTTATGTACTGTACTAATTCTTACACTGCCTGTATACTTTAGTATGATGCTGATACATAACTAAATTTGATACTTATATTTTCGTATGAAAATGAGTTGTGAAAGTTTTGAGTAGATATTACTTTATCACTTTTTGAATTAAGAAAAAAAACTTTTGTAAAGAAATTTACTATATATATATGCCTTTTTCCTAGCCTGTTTCTTCCTGTTAATGTATTTGTTCATGTTTGGTGCATAGAACTGGGTAAATGCAAAGTTCTGTGTTTAATTTCTTTCAAAATGTATATATTTAGTGCTGCATCTTATAGCACTTTGAAATACCTCATGTTTATGAAAATAAATAGCAATTAAATGAAGCGACTTTTTTTTTTTTTTCCCTTGATGGCACTAGTTATACTCTGTCCCATAAACAGTGACCGTAACAGTACATAACGTGCAGAAGGGACTTGTTTTCCACAGGCAGCCCTTGTACATCTCTGCACTCCTGATTGGGGGGTGGGGACCGTTGTCCCCACTTGGGGTGGAAGGAACTGAGCTTAGGAAGGTTAAGTCATCTCTTCCAGATTCCAAAGAATAGCGATGTTACTAATGACTGCATTGTAGCAATAGCACTCAATAGTTTACAAAGCACTTTCCCAGGTTGGACAGTGAATGGAATTAAACTAGGATGTCAGACATCAACCCTGTAGAGTGAGAAGTCAAGACAAGGTGGTGTAATTTGCCTGTATTTGGTGTCAGTAATGCTTGTTCCCTTGGCAGATGGCTTTATATTTTGGGGGAGTGTAGTTTGTCTCCAAGAGGAATGTGTGCTTCCAAGTTCACTAGGACTTGGAAGGTTCTGTGCTGGCTGGGCTTGGTAGCAGAATAAACATGAGGTTGATCCCTTCCCTCAAGGAGCTCTCGATCTGATTCACGGAATGTCCGCTCTCAGCGCCTGCCGTTTCACGGGCTGGCCTTTGGGCTGCCCTGCGGAAGCAGGACTAACCTCTGTAGGCTCTGGAGGACAGCCAGTGCCAAAGGGTAGGGGGTGGGCACCTGCAGCAAGGAAGGAGTTTCAGTTTCCCTGATCGGAGGGGACACTGGCTTGTGAGACATTCTGCTCAGAGCCGAAAGCCCATAAAACCCTATTTCTCTTTCAGGTGAAAGGTATTGGATTCTTTTTGTAAGATTTCATCCATCCCAGATTTTTAGCTTTGAGCTGGCAAAGGCCTTTTGCTTTACTGAGAAGAAAGCAGGTCTAGGGATGAGAATGTGCTTAGCTGGTGAGGGCAGAGGCAGGAGACCCTGGGCCCGGTGGCCCCTTGTCTGCTTGGGCCATTTTATAAAGGCCAGTGGGAGATTAGAACTTGGGCTCCTCCGGATTCGGTTTATAGGCACACATCCCAGAGCTCTGAGGTTGGTACTGCTGTGGGCATTCCCGATGGTCAGACCGTCCCCGCTGCTAGAAAATTAACGAACCTGCTTTGAAAGTCCATTTTGAGTTGTCAGTTCAATTGTCATTTCTGACCATTTGCATTTTACAAGCCCCAAATTGCCTTTCCACTGCACCTTGTTTGTGCCACCCTGAGTCGAAAGAAAGTTCAGTGACCTCAAAGTAATTGAGCACCTGAGATCCTTGGAAGCTAGCTTTTCTATTTGTGGTCCCCATAGGGGGCCTATCTAGGTGTTTCAGATGAGCCAGAAATCTAGCCATGAAGGAAGAAAATAATGAGGCCCTAAACTAATTTCCACCACGCTCCATTTTTGCTCTGGCTGCTGGGAAGCTCAGAGCCAAATTCCATAACTCTCATTCTACATATCTGGTGCCCATTCTCTCTTTTCTTCCAAATGTCTATGATCTCTTGTTTTTGATTTTCAGTTTAAGCACTTTTTAAAAATGTTTTTTATTATGTTACATTAAAGAGAAGTATTTTGCTTTAGGTGGATCATGAATATATATATTTGAATGTTAAAACTAAATACCACTTGCCTTTCCTGGTCCAGCTGAGGGAAAGCGTCACCCAATTTGCTCTGCAGTTATCTATAAGCAATTGCTGTAGTCACCAAAGGACTGAATCACCCGTTTCAATCACGTGAGAAACCATCTCTGCAATAAATCCCAGGGCTCAGGGGAAGCGCAGAGATCATCTCCCTGAATGACTTCATATCACAGAATGGGGCCGTGGGGTCGCCTAGCAGGTCGGTGGCCAAGCCCGGGACCGCAGTCGGGTCTCCTGATCAGTCCCATGTTCTTCCCACAGCATTGGTTTTCCCAGGGCGCCCCCTGCGCCCCCCTTCACCCCGGCGGCAGCCTCTGCCTCCTGGCCCACCCTTCCCCCTGCGGCATGCATGCTTCCGTATTAATACTAAATCGCCGACCCCACATGAAAACTTCCAACAGTTCCCTACCACTAAGGGGATAAAGTCCCAATCCCCCACCCTGGCCCACCAGCGCCGTCACCTACTGCCCCCCTCGAGCTTTCTCACCTGTTACTTGTTTCACCCCATCCCCTCCTCCCGTGTTGTCCGGTTTCTGTTCATTGAAACCCTTCCTAACCTGGAGTGGCAAGGCCCGTGTCATCTCACCCAGGAAGTCTTCCTCATACCCCCGGGTGGGTCCTTTCCAGCTTGCGATCTTGCTTCACCTCTTGACGCAGAAAAGGTGTCCTCATCGCTGTTGTACGCTACAGGCTCCCCCTAAGGCAGGTATGGTGGCCCATTCGCCCCTGACCTTCTGCCCCACTAGTGACTGACAGATGGCAGGGCCTTGGTGGATGCCAGAAGGATGGCGAGTGGCTGAATACCGGCGGAGGAAGGAGCCAGGTGAGGGGCAGGTGGGGTAGATGTTCATTATAAGCTTGTCTCCTGCCAACCCCAGGTCCGAGCTCTCAGGCTGCAACAGGTGGGAAGCACATCTATTAGGCATCAGGGAACTTCCAGTCCTGACTGCTGGAAATGAAGATAGAATGCACCTGGAGGTCCAGGTAGGCCTGTCTTCACAAGCCCATGGTCTGGAAGGGACCTAAGTCCCTTGTGTAGAAGGCAGAGAGGGGAGACAGGAGGGACTGATGCAGGGTAGGGGGTCATCAAGCAAACATATGAGGGGTCTCAAGGCTGCATCAGGCTCTGGGCCTCCAGTTCCCAAGTTTGGAACGCTGTTGGAGGAAGCCCGTTTGCTGGTCTACCACAAACCTGGGGCGTCTCATGCCAGTGTGTGAAACCCAGGCCACCTGCGCTATGGTGGCAGCGTACAGTGCTTCCCACTTCTGTGTAGCACTGTAGAGATCACTTGGTTTTTCACACGTGAGTTTCACAGTCTTTCAGGAGTGTTGACCAGTGCTTCCTATTTCTCTCTGGGGAGTTGGGTCTTTTGGGTTTGACTTTCATTCATCTCTCTGGTGGCTATCTCTTGAAAATCTTAATTTGAGCTGTCTTTAGAATCAAAAGGAGAAGCTGGAAAGCCACCTAGCTCAATCTCCTACTTTAGAGGTGGGGCACCAGATGAGAAAGGAGGAGCATCCTGTGTGCCCACGAGTGTTCTTTTCTCTTTCTTCCTCCCCCTGCCTCCCTGCCTCTGTTCCTCTCTTTCACTCTCTCTTCTCATAAAGAATATTTATTTGGCACTTACCATGCATCAGGCACTGTTCCAGACTCTTGGGGGACATCAGAGAACAGAAGAAACAAAACTCCCCCAAACCCCTGCCTTCAAGGACTTTGTAGTTTAGGAGAGAGTGACAACAATAAAAAGAGCCATAATAAGCGAAGGCATCAAAGAGCACTCACTAAAGTGGTGGATGCTACGAAAGGTAAGGGGAACAGGCTGGAGGGATTCCAGAAGCCACAGGAGGAGGGAAATGGGGTGCAGTTTTTGGGTGGGATGGTCAGAAAGGTGCCGTGAGGCAGGAAAGTTGCAGGGAAGACCAGCCCCGGGGCCTGTTGTGGCTGCTTGGAGACCAGGAGTCAGTCCTCGGGCTTCGCTGGTCTGGTCTGTGTTCTTCCTCCTCCACCTCTCTCTGGTCATTGGCAAATGCCCTCTCCCTCAACTCCTTTATCACTCTTTCAAGGAGGGCACCAGGGTAGAGCAGTGAAGAGTGAGGACCTGAAGCGAGACTCCCTGGTTTGACTTGGACTTCCACACCCACAGGCTCTGGGCTGTGCCATCCCCCCGCCGCCCCACCCCGTGACAATGATGGTAGCACCCCCTTTCCCTGGTCTTAGGGGGATTATGGAAACTAACTTGGTATATGGCACATGGAAGAGCATCTCCCACATGACGAGTACAGTTGAAGTCTGTTAAATAGTCTGATTTCTGGTTGACACGATCTTTCCGCTCTCTATTTCCCTGTGTTACCAGGGCAAAGAATCTTTAAAGAGCATTTACTGGTAGAACAGAATCACAACTTGAGCTTAGCAAGAAGTTGTGGAATTTGTCCTTCCAAAGGAGCCTTAACAAAAACCTGAAAACGGGT